TCTGATGGGGACTCCTTTGTAGGTGACTGTCCCCTTAGCTCTTGCTGCTTCCAGGATTCTCTCCTTCATTTTAATTTTGGCTAATGTAATTATGATATGCCTTGGTGTGTTTCTTCTTGAGTCCAACTTTTTTGGTACTCTCTGGGCTTCTTGGATTTCTTGGAAGTCTATTTCCTTTGCCAGATTGGGGAAATTTTCTTTTATTATTTGTTCAAATAGTTTTTCCACTGGTGGTTGTGTCTTTCCCCCTTCTGGTACCCCTATAATTCGGATATTGGAGCGTTTAAAGATGTCCTGGAGGTTCCTAAGACTCTCCTCATTTCTTTGAATTCTTGCTCCTTGACTCTTTTCTGTTTGGCCATTATTTGGTTTCTTCTGGTTCACTCCATTGATTTGAGTCCCAGTTTCCTTTTCATCTCTATGGGTTTCCTGTGGAATTCCATTCATTTCCCTTAATTTAGCCTTCATATGTTTCTCTAATTTGTGGCTATAATCCACCAGATCTGTGAGGAAGCTGATGACCAGTGTTTTAAACTGTGCGTCTGAGAGTTTTGCTATTTCTTCGTCACTTAGATTTATCTCTGGGGCTTTGAGTTCTCCCTGAGACATTTTTGGTCTGTTCTGGCCCTTTAAGTGGGAGAAGCGGCGCCTTGGAGTCCCAGGTCGCTGGGTTGTGACGCTGTATGTGGGGGCGTGGTCAGAGCGGGGAAATGGCAGCGCCCTCTATTGCCGCCGCGGCCGCCGTCTATCGTCGCCGCCGCCGCCGGTCCAACCGCTCACTCCCTCACTCGCATGCAATTAGGCAACCACAGTCAACACGCTGCACCGCCTCCCCACTGTCTCCTCTGCAGTCGCTCACCCGGTGGGTTGCTCGGTCGCTCACTAGGTCTAATCCTGGGTTTGGAACCCGTGCGACTGGATTCGCGCGTCTGGATTCCGCGCCGGTCCGACCGAGCCCTCCTTTGTAACTCCTCACCCGACGCTGGTTTCACCCCTTACCGGTCGGGCTGAAGAATTTGTTGTTAGCGGACTTCCGAAAAGTTCAGTTTTCCGTGTTCTGGTTGTGTTTTCTGATGCTAATATTTAGTTGTCCCTAAACTTGGTTGTGTGAGGAGGCACGGCACATCCACCTAAACCTCCATCTTGCGGAAGTCCTTCTCAAGAAGATCTCAAAGCCCTAGAGTCCATAATGCTAAGCAACAAAGAAATAGCAAAACTTTCAGATGCACAGTTTAAAACACTGGTGATCAGGATGCTCACAGAACTGGTTGATTTTAGTCACAAATTAGAGGAACAAATGAAGGCTAAACTAATTGAAATGAAGGGAAATACACAGGAAACCAATAGTAATGGAAAGGAAACTGGGACTCAAATCAATGGAGTGGACCAGAAAGAAGGAAGAAGCAACCAAACAGAAAAGAATGAAGAAACAAGAATTCAAAAAAATGAGGAGAGGCTCAGGAACCTTTAGGGCATCTTTAAACGTTCCAACATCTGAATTATAGGAGTACCAGAAAGGGAAGAGGAACAGCCACCAGTGGAAAACTTATTTGAACAAATAATAAAGGAGAATTCCCCCAATCTGGCAAAGGAAATAGACTTCCAGGAAATCCAGGAGGCTCAGAGAGTCCCAAAGAAGTTGGATCCAAGAAGAAACACACCAAGGCACATCATAATAACATTGCCCGAGATTACAATGAAGGAGAGAATTCTAGAAGCAGCAAGAGGTAAGGAGATAGCCACCTACAAAGGAGTTCCCATCAGACTGTCAGCTGATTTCTCAAAAGAGACCTTACAGGCAAGAAGGGGCTGGAAAGAGGTATTTCAAGTCATGAAATCCAAAGACCTACATCCAAGATTGCTCTATCCAGCAAAGCTATTATTTAGAATGGAAGGGCAGCTAAAGTTGCTTCCCAGATATGGTAAAGGTAAAGGAGTTCATCATCACCAAGCCTTAGGTATGTTAAAAGGACTTACCTAAGAAAAAGAAGATGATCAAAACTATGTACAGTAAAATGACAACAAACTTACAACTATCAACAGCTGAATGTAAAAACAAAATAAAATACAAAAGCAAACTAAGCAAACAACTAGAACGGAAACAGAATCACGGAAATGGAGATCACATGGAAGGTTAGCAGTGAGGGTAGGGAGAGGGGGATAAAGGGGAAAATGGTACAGGGAATAAGAAGCATACATGCTAGCTAGAAAATAGACAGTGGGTGGGTATCAAGAATTGTGTAGAAAATGTAAAAGCCAAAGAACTTATATGTACAACCCATGGACATGAACTAAAGGAGCAGGGGGAATGCAGGTGGGAGGAGGTGTGCTGGGCAGAGGGGAATAAAGGGGGGGGAATGGTACAACTGTAGTAGCATAATCAATAAAATATATTTTAAAAAAGGAAATGTGGTTACAATAAATAAAAAATAAGCTATGTGCAAAGAAAAAAGCAAAAAGCTGGGACAACAATACTTATATCAGAAAAACAGACTTCAAAAGAAAGGGCATGTAAGAGACAAAGAAGGTCACTACATTTAAGGGAATAGTTCATGAAGAAGATATAACCCTTGTAAACATTCATGCACTCAATATAGGGGCACCTAAATCTATATGGAAAATCATGGAGGACTTCAAGAAGGATAGCGACAGCAACACAGTCATTATAGGGGATTTTAATGCCTCATTGTCAACAACAGACAGATCTTCCAAGCAAAAAATCAACAAGGATTTTGTGGCATTGAAACAACACTGTGGATCAAGTGGATTTAATTGATATATACAGAACCTTCCAAGCCAAATAAGCAAAATACACATTTTTCTAAAATACACATAGATCATATTCAAAGATAGACCACATGGTATCACAATGACTTGAAACTAGAAACCAACCTGAAGGAAAAAACTGTTAAATATTCAAATACATGGAGACTGAATAACATGCTATTAAATAAGTTAACAATGAGATCAAGGACAAAACCAAAAAGTACCTGGAAACAAATGAAAATGAACACACAACAGCCCAAACCTATGGGATACTGCCAATGCAGTCCTCAGAGGGAAGTTCATAGCAGTAGAGGGTTACTTAAAAAGAGATAGAAAAGTCTAAAAAAAAAACTAACCTAACCATACATCTACCTGTACACACACCTGTACTTGGGAAACTACAAAACACTGAAGAAAGAATTTAAGAAAGACAAATAAATGGAAGCATATACTGTGTTCATAGACTGGAGGAATTAACATCATTAAAATGTGCATACTACCCAAAGCAATCTATAGATTCAATGCAATCCCTATTAAAATGCCAATGGCATATTTTACAAATATAAAACAAGTATTTAAAAAATATATATGGATCAAAAAACAACCCTGAATATACTCAGCAATCTCTAGAAAGAAGAACAAAGTTGCAGGGATCACAATACCTAATATCAAACTATACTGCAAGTCCATTGTAATCAAAACAGTCTGGTACTGGCATAAGAACACGCACATAGGTCAATGAAACAGAATGAAGAGCTTAGAAATAAACCCATGTCTCTATGGTCATTAAACACTTGACAAAGGTGACAGGAGCATAGAACGAAGTTAAAAATAGCCTCTTCAATAAATGGTGTTGAGATCTGGACAGGTACATGCAAAAAAAAATAAAACTAGACTATCAACTTACACTATACACTAGAATAAACTCAAAATAGATAGAAAGACTTAAATATAAGTTGCAATACCATAAAAATCCTAGAGGAAAACATAGTCACTAAAATTTCGGATATCTTATGTAGCAATATTTTTGTCAATATATCTCCTAGGGCAAGGGAAATAAAGGAAAAAATAAACAAATGGGACTACTCAATTAAAAACTTCTACACAGCTAGAGAAACAATCATCAAAATGAAAAGGGAATTGACCATATGAGAAAATATATTTGGTAATAATACCTCAGACAAGGGTTTGATCTCCAAAATATAAAAAGAAACCATACAACACCAGGAAGACACACAATCCAGTTAAAAAATGGGACAAGGACCTGAAAAGACACTTCTCCAAGGAGGACACAGAGATGGCCCATAGACATATGAAAGGATGCTTAACGTCAGTAGCCATCAGAAAGATGCAAATTAAAACCCTAATGAGATACCATCTCACACTGGTCAGAATAGCCATCATTAATAAATCAAGAAACAGTAAGTGCTGGCGAGGATGTGGAGAAAAGGGAACCCTAGGTCAGTGTTGGTGAGAATATAAACTGGTGCAGCCAAGTGGAAAACAGTATGGAATTTCCTCAAAAAATTAAAATGTAACTGCCTTTGGATGCAGTGATTCCACTGCCTGGATTATACCCTAAATCCCTGAAATACCAATTCAAAAGAACCTATGCACCCATATGTTCATAGCAGTATTATTTACAACAGCCAGATGCTGTAAACAGCCTAAGGGACCATCAGTAAATGAATGGATCAAAAACTGTGGTACATTTACACAGTGGAATACTAAGCAGCAGTAAGGAAGAAGGAATTCTTACCCTTGGCAACAGCATGATTGGACATTGGAACTGGACACTATCATTCTAAGTGAAATACGGCAGGTGGTGAAAGAGAAATACCACATGATCTCACCTATAAGAGGAACCCAATAAACAAAACAAATGAGCAAAATAAAATGAGATGCATGGAAACAAGGAAGAGACTGACAGTGACTGGAGGTGTAGAGGGAAGGGGATAAGGTGGAAAAAAGAGGAAGGGACTAATCAAGAAACATGTATGAATGACTCATGAACATGTAGAAAAGGGTAGGGATTGACTGTGATAGTAGGGGGTAGGCTGGGTGGAGGAGAGCAAAGGGGGAAAATTGGGACTACTGTAATAGAACAATAAAATATTTAATTAAAAATACTAAGAAAACCCTTACAATCTTGCTTGATTAGTGTGGCTCAGTTGGTTGAGTGTTGTCCTATAAAGCAAAAGGTCACTGATTCGATTCCTGGTCAGAGCACTTACCTGGGTTGTGGGTTGTCCTTGTTGGGGTGTATGCCAGAGGCTGCTGATCATTGTTGCCTCACACAGTGATGTTTCTCTCCCCTTCTTTCTTCCTCCCTTCCCCAAGTGTCCATCAGTAGATGAATGAATAAACAGCTATGGAACATTTACACAATGGACTACTATTGGGCAGTTAAAAAAAAAGAAATAAAGAAAAGAAAATTTTACCCTTCATGAGAGCAAAAATGGACCTGGAGAACATTATGCTAAGTGAAATAAGCCAGTCAGAGAAAGACAAATACCCTATGGTTTCACTCATATGTGGAATCTAATGAACAAACTGAGCTAGCATGCAAAATACAGACAGGCTCATAGAGAGAGAGCAGGCTGACAGCTATGGTGGGGTGGGGTGGGGTTAGGGGGTGGAGGGATCAAGCAAAAAGGGAAAAGAACTGATGGACATGGACAATAGGGCAGTAATTGGAGGGGGGAGGGTATAAGGGCCCTAAATGTTAATGAAAAAATATAATAAAAATTAAAAATAATACATTTTAAAAAAGAACTCCATGAGCACAGAAAAGATAAGTAAATAAAATCTTTAAAAATTAAAAAATAAAAAGCAGTTTTTATAAATAGGATCATTTTACTAACAATTCCTTACATTTTGTTTGTATATTACAGGTTAACTATTCCTTCACTTTAATGGTAAACCTTCGTTTATTTAGAAGGGATGTTGATGCAGCTGGATATTTTTTCTCTGCTTGTTGAATGGTAGAACTATTGAAATTGGGATGTCAAGCTAAGTGGGGAAAAGGTACTGGTTTATACTTCCCTTTGCCTGAAGTTTTGCAGAGAGAAGAGGTGAGGACAGGAAAGTTCAGTTATGACACTGATAACTCTCAAGATACATCATAATGGTGCAAGAATTTGTGGGTTTAGAATTTTATGAGAAAAACTACGTAGGTACTAAAACTGTCATTGGGTTTACTGTTGGGTAAGAGAAATGTGATCCCTAATGAAAGATCTGGAATGAATAGAATGAACTGTTGGAAATAATGGTGAACAGATTAACTAATAAATATATGAGCATATCTAATCAAATATTGACTGTATCAAACAAAAATTAATGCTTTATTTGCGGGGCTTAAAGCAACCCCAAATATAAAGCAGGATAGTATTTGACAGGATGGTGTTTACCAGTCATTTTATATCTTTTCTATGAATTGTTTGGTTATAAGTTTCGTCCATTTTCCCATTGGATATTTGGTCTTTCCCCTTAAAATTTAAAGGGCAGTTCGAGCATTTTTAAGGGTCTATGGTTTGCCAAACTGCTAGAAAGGGAAGTCTAAATGCTCACCACTCACAAAATGTGGTCTGCGGATGATTCCCATCTCCATCAGTGAAGAGTTTGACATCACTGGGGAGCTTGTTAGAACTGTAAAATTTTTGGCACCACACCTGACATTCTGAATCAGAACCTGCCTTTTAACAAGATCCCCAGTTGATTTCTATGTCTAATAATGTTTGAGAAACTTTGGTCTCAACCATCTCTTAAAGATCTCATATTGCATCTCCTCTAGGAACTTCTCCTGACTAAAAGAGAAGTGAAAGATGCCCTGGCTGGTGTGGCTTAGTGGATTGAGTGCTGCCTAGTGAACCAAAGGTTTGCTGGTTCACCCAGTCTAGGGCACTGGGTTGCAGGCCAGGTTCCTAGTAGGGAATGCATGAGATGCAACCACACATTGATGTTTCTCTCCCTCTTTTTCCCTCCCTCTCTCTAAAAATAAATAAATAAAGTCTTAAAAAATAAAATAGCAAGGGAAGAGGGGATTGTATTCCTCCAGTACCATTAACCCTAACAGGTGTCTGTGAACTCATGTGTTATATTAATTGCATACCTTTCCCCAGATGCTCTATTTTGAAGGAAAGGTTGTGTCTTCTACATGTGTTAGCAAAATTTTAAAAAGTTTGTTTTCTAAAATTAACCCATATTCTTAGAAAACAAGCATTATAAGAAACATTTAGAAAATACAGTACAGTATAATGGTTTGTCAAAAAATTAAACATAAAATGACCATATGGTACAGCAACTCCACTTCTGGATGTATACCCAAAATAATGGAAAGTAGAGGCCCAAAGAAGCATTTGTACACCCATATTCACAACAGCATTATTCACACTAGCCAAAAAGGGAAACAACCCAAGTAAGTGTCATTGATAGATTAATTGATTTTTAAAAAAGTGATACACACACACACACACACACAATAGAATATTGTTCAGGCTTAAAAGGAGGAAGTTCTGACACATGCTATGTGAAATAAGCTGGACACAAAAAGAATTATATTTATATGAGGTACCTAGAGTAGTCAAATTCCTAGAGACAGATAAATAGAATGGTGGTTGCCAGAAACTGAGGGAAGGGGGAATTACTGTGTAATGACTATAGATAGAGTTTCAGTTTGGCATGTTGAAAAAAGTTCTGGAGATGGATGTTAACAATTGGTGTTGAACACCAATGCAAATGTACTTAATGCTACCGAACTGTGCACTTAAAAATGGTTAAAATAGTAAACTTTACATTACATGTATTTTACCAAAATAAGAAATCCAAAGCCTATTTACCATTAGATTGTAAGAAACTTAAAAATTTATAATAATGAAATTTTATAAATGTCATTATAATTTTCATTATAAATAATGAAATTTATAATAAAAATTTCATTATTATAAATTTTGATCTCTAGGAATGCCTTGTATATAATAGGGTTCATATTTTTAATAAAAGTTGCAACTTTCATAGGAAAAAAAGTATAAAATTCATAGATGCATATTTTAAAAATGCACTTAATGCAAGAATAAAGAATGAAAGCTTCCTGTACACTTGCTTGGATGCTACAGTTCACAGATCTGACTACTCTTTAGAGGTTAATTTTTATTTATGCTAATAACAGATGTGCTTTTTCAGGATATATATGGAAATAATTTTAAATGAATTATGTGTCATTGAGACATATACAAATCCTATAGCAAACTTAACCAGGAAATGATACAGTAAGAGGTTATTTAAACATTAGAACTATTTGAGCATAGTGCAGTCATTTATATGCAATTTTTTAAAGCTGGCTACATTGTATCTCCACTATCTACTAGTCTCACCTTCAACTAAAGGAAAACTTACTTTCTACAGCTTTGGGACAACCAAGACAGAGTCACTCCTCAGATGGATGTATCTTCCACCACACTTAAACACCATCCATTCCCATTCCACAAAGCGCCTTCGCTTGGAGCTCATGCTCCTTTTGTAAAGGTGTGACTGCCTCTCTCCAGGAGTTGATGCAGTAAAAACTCACACAATTCTAGTTGGGGATTAAAAAAAAAGTCTTTAGTAAATATGTTAGCTTCCAAAGGTCATTTATTTAATAAAGTACCATAAACAGGATGCCTTAGAATAACAGAATTTACTTTCTTAGAATCCTGAAAGCTAGAATTCCAAAATCAAGGTTTAAGCAAGCCATACTCTCTCCAAAGGCTCAAAGGGAAGAATCCTTTGTCTTGCGCCCCTCCTGGTGGTTGCCAGCAATCCTTTGTGTTCTTGACTTGCCGATGCATCATTCCGATCTTTGCTTTTGTTGCCAGAGGGCCTTCTCCTTGTATGTCTGCATCTGTATCTCTTCTCTTCTCATAAGATGTCAATCATGTTGGTCCAGTGTGACCTCATTTTAACTTGGCATCTGCAAAAACCTTATTTGCAAATAAGGTCACATTCACAGGTACCAGGATTAGGACTTCCAATATTTATTTTGGAGGGATACAATTCAACCCATAACAGTAGAACCAAGTTTCTGCTGAAACTTAAACTTGAGCAATGTTCTATTTGTTAACAATACACTTTACCAGGAAGAAAGGTCTCAGCTCCAGGTTGCTGGGAAAATCAGTCTTTCTGGGCTTAGTTCACATTTCCACACTTCTTTTTTGACTATAAGAACTTGCACTTGGTTAGATACTGTCGGTCACTACTGTCAGCACCTTATATTTCACTTCCTGCTTCCTAAATGAAAATTTGAATTGTAGAATGTAATGAGTCAGCAAGCAAGCACAGAATTTAGGGCTGGTAGATATGAGGATGAAATTAGAAGGCTGGGGAACTCTTCACTATCCAGATATATGTGCTCTTTTCTTTGCTAATGTATTTGTTAAACAAAATGAAACAAAGAAACAAAAAGAATAAAGCCCCGTAATTTTGTGTGCTTTTGTTGTTGTTTTTAATATTTATAATCTATTTCCCTTCTATGGAAGTAGATATTGTTTAGTAACCCAAGTTAATATGGTGGGTAAAGGTTTGTGCTGTTTAGGACTTCTTCAGGAGTCAGAAACTCAAAAAGGAAATCTTAATTTAGAATTCTCAGACTAGTATCTGAAAGTTCAGGTAAGAATTAAGCTTACAGTAATTGCTGGTGTGGTTCATTTGGTTGGAGTATTGTCTGGTAGACTGGAAGTTTGAGGGTTCAATTTCCCATTGGGGCATATATCCAGGTTTTGGGTTCCATCCCCAGCTGGTCATGTACAAGAATGCAACTAATCGATGTTTCTCTCTCACTAAAAGCAATGTAAAAAAAATAGTACTCCAGATGAGAATAAAAATCAACCAAACGAAGAGAACTGAGCTGACATATACCAGTGTAGCTCAGAGGTGTAAACTTGGGGTGTGGATGGTTTTATAAAACAGCACGAGGCAGGGTGAGGTTGCCCTGTATCTCCCTATCCTATTGGGAATACCCAGTCTACTTTTGGAACAGATAAGGCCTGGAAAATGTCTAACACTATTCCCTGATTTCGTAGAGGAAGTAGATATGTGTGAGATTGTTTTTACTATACACACATTACTTGTTTTGTTTCTCTTCCAGGCCGCCAGGCTCACTCAGTGCTACATCCTAGGTTCCAATTGATTAAGATTAGGAAAATAATTCAAAGCAACAAGCATTTATTGAATGCTGATTGTATGCCTAACCTCATGTCTTATGTGCCAGACTTACCCATTAAGTCACGAACGGCGGTGTTTTGCTTCCAGCACTGGATTGGTAGATTTCTCTACCACTTTAAGATTCCGCATTAAGCCAGTGTTTGGTTTTCGGGCTGGGTGGGATGCAATGGGCGGCCTTCTTCCCCGCAGTAACGTTCGGACACTTGGGCGGGAGGAGCCACTGGGATTCCCCTGAAAGGTAGCGAGGCCAACGCTGACTTTGGGGAAGCCAAGCTGGCAGGTAAAGAGCTGTCCATCAACAGGGTACGGGCTTGTCCTGCGCTAACCGGCCAACCAGCCCTGTCCTCCGAGAATCCGCCCAAATCCAAACCACTGAGCATGCGCTAAAGGCCTCTACGCAAATTCGCCTTCTCAGCACGTTTCCCTGCGGGGTCAGTGTTAGAGTGCTCAAGGTATCCTTAAAAAATAGGGGGAAAGAAGAAAAAATAATGAGTGTCCTTTGCAATGGGAAAGCGGGAAAGTATATGTGAAGAAATTCCTCCGAGTGGTGGTTGCTCGCAGCCGCCAGCTCTTGGGCAGGCATGTCCTGTCATTTTAGCCTCTTGCAGATTTTTCTTTAAAGAAGCCGCATACGAAACTCAGAAGTTTTGATCCTATTCCAGGTCGCCCTTTCGAGCTGGGTGTTTGCGTGATTAGCAAGCTACTCTGGCCTACAGTGTCCCTTAATCGCGGGATGCTCATTCAGGGTCTCAGAAGCTTCCCACATTTCTCTAGAAGCCTTTGGGGCGCTCCGTCTGGCCTGCACACACGCGACTTCCGAACGTCCGTGTCCTCTCGGTGCCCTATAAAGGCCACCTTCTTGAAACTTCCGTCCCCACAGGCCCCAAGCGCACAGGGGGACAAGATGCCATCACACCCGGTCCGGCCCTTACGGTCCGTAAGGGTGATTCCCCAAAGCTCTAGAGGTGCTCCATGGGCAGGGAACCCAAGATCCCAGGGAATAGGCGCCAGTTCCAGGGTCTTCGCCTGAGCTAAACGCCCCCCGCTGGCGTGCGCCACCCTCATCTCAGCCCATTGGGCCTTCGGCTTGGGGAGGATCGAACCGGAGAGGAGGCGCTCCTTGGAGTCCCCACCCGCCCCGCTGGGGGCACCTCAAGGTGCTGCATGAGCATCGTGCAGCGTCGCTCCCGCACTGCGCTGAGTGGTGCTGGCCCGACACCCCTCGAGGCCCGTGCCAGCCCCTCCTCCGTCTGTCCCGCCCCAAGCCGCACCGGACACCCCGCCCCGAAGAGGCGGCCGCGTGAGCGCCTGTGGTGGGAGGCTGGTGGCTTGAGGGAACCGCCACCGCCACAAGCACAGTTACCCCCAGCGAGCCCAGGCACTACTCCGAACGTGCATAACTGCAGACGCGGAGAGGGTCGCCTCGCAGCGTGACACGGCTTGGAGGGCGCGGCCTGGGCTGCCCCCCCCCCCCCCCGACTCGCTGCGAAGGAAACAGGCGGAGGCGCTGGGAGCCTAGGGCGGGCGGGGCGTGAGGACGCACCTGGCGGCGGCGGCGCTGCGGGGCCAGACTCCGGGAGCCAGCGCGGCGGCGGTGGCGGCAGCTGCGAGAATGTCGCAGCTCTCGCTGCTTCCCGCCTCCGCAGAGACTCGGAAGTTCACCCGGGCGCTGAGTAAGCCGGGCACAGCGGCCGAGCTGCGGCAGAGTGTGTCTGAGGTAGTACGCGGCTCGGTGGTCCTGGTGAGTGAGGGAGGAATTGGGACAGAGGGAGGGGGGCGGACGGCCACTTCCTCCGTGCTCTTCTAAGTGGGCTGGGCAGAGGTGGAGTAGTCGACTTTACTGGGTCTTAAATATTATGAGGTGGTGGGAAAGAGGGGCGGGGGCGTTGGACGGGGAGAAGAAGACAGTACTGGAGGGGTAGCAACTTCCAGATTCCACCTTGCATCCGGAGGTCCTCGCGCCACTGCTGCCCCTTACTGGGCAGTGAGATCGCTACCTCCGCTTCCCATCCCCCAGCCAGTTTACCTCCCTCTGCCAAGTGGGAAATTATCCTCACCCCTAGTCCCTGCCACAGCCCTGTTTTCCTTCGGTTTATGGAGAGGCTTGACACCTGTAGCTTGAAGGGGCTCAGGGGCGTGGAGATTGGGGTTTCCTTTCCCAGTTTGCAACATAGGGTTGGGAGATGGCCCTGTGGACCCTTTGGGTGGGCTGAGTTCCAAGAGCAAAGGGGCTCTTCATCTTCTTAATCCCCCTTCTTCTAGCCGGCATCCTGAGGGTTGACCTCCTCTTATAAAGGGTTAGGGGGCATGATAGGAGCCGTCGGTAACTTCAGCTTGGTGCAAATTACTATGAAGTTTGGGGATTTGAAGCAAGTGAAGCAAGCTTCTCCGAGATTAATCTGGTTGTAGCAGAAGGTCTTTAGAGAATAGACCCCTGGATGTGAGGGAGATGAAATTTTAAATCAACTTTTCCACAGCCAGGGCTGGCCCTGTTATATTGGGAAACTCGGTGTGCCTGATCAGTTGGATGATCCAGGAGAGGAGTGACGTTTAAGCAGCAGCATGTTTTTCCGGGCAGCTGGAAACTTTTAGTAGCAACTCGCCTTGTGGCTGACATTTGTTTTCTTGAAAGGGGCTTGTTTGTGGGTGGTTAACTCATGGTGTTTGTTGGAACGATGCAAGAAGATGGGCCTTGGAAGCAGTTCACTGGGCCATGTGGCAATGTTTGTGGGGTATTATCAGGGTGGAGTGCCAGGTCCCTTAAAACAGGGGCTAGGTATCTTTTTGGTGGTAGAGAGATGCCCTGCCTGGGCAAACACAGGATGGCATGAGTGATGTTTGTGGAGTTGGAGATGAAGTTTTGCTGATTGCCAAATTCAGCTTGCTCAGTTTGATTTTTCTCTCAATTGCCAGCTCTGCCAGCTCACTCTATATTCCACAAACTCTAATTTGTTCCATAATAAACAGGGATTCTATTTTTCTGGTTTACTAAAGGTGATGCGTTGATGGTATGGAGTAGAGGTAGAGTTGGCAAAAGACCAGAACCTTGCATCTCATCCATAATCCCAACTAACTTTTGTTGATTTGGCTTTAGTAGGACATCTGCATCTTCCCAACTTTAGCCAGTGTGTGTATGTTAAGGATCAAACTGCATTCTCTCTGTTTCACAGGAAACTTAGTTCTTTAAACTGGGGGCTGCTGTTCTGGGGGATTTGTGGCAAAAAGAGTGAATAAAATATAACTGCCATGATTTCCAAAGTGCTGGCAGACCTGTACTGAAGAGGAGGTATGAGCTTAATAAGCCATTCCATTGAGCACAGAAGTGCCAACATAGACACAACACTGCTTGTTACTGATGTGCAACAGTCC